TATACTCGGGCATACGAACAGATATTTGATGTATATTCTCACATAGTAACTTGTAGAAAATGTGGTTTGCAATATTAATTTCACTTATGTTGCGTTGCCAGTGTCGGAATTGATACTTAACAATGGCACTATAAATGATGAGACTTGGGATGGACGGACAGACATTCAAACATATCAGAATTACTGTTTTGCTTCGATTATTCTCGGATACTTCACACTTGCTCATAAACAGAGTTTGACCACCTGCTAACGTTTAATACACTGGTCTACTGCAAGCTTCTGCACTATTCTTACAGGAAACACGATAGAAGCTGATTAGAAGGGTCGAAAGACCCAGTGTCTTTCGTTGCTGACGTTATCCCACAACTTAATGAATCACTGTCGTGTACACGTTGGATAGACAGCAGCTTTAATGTAGACGGGGGGAGGGGTTGCTCAGACATTAAATTGTGGGTTTCATAACGGCGAGGTCCCAACTTCGATCGTCGGTCAGGTCATTGGCCTTTCTTCCTTATGAGGTTGCTGAATGAACATCAGTCGAGAACGGAAACATGAAATTACACAGTATACTAGCAGCATAACTGCTCTCGACCCTGCATTTAAAAGAAAAACAAGGCACTTTTGGCCGATGATATGCAAGTAGAAATCAACATCCCAATATTAACTTCACGAAAAGAAGGGCATCACAATGGCTTCTTCATGAAAATGTAGCGAAAACCAGCCGTCCAACAGCTTCAAGCCTTTTCCTTTTTTCATAATGGGGCAATACATGACTGTCTTTTAATGACAGTTGTAGCAGAAACCTGGATGTGTTGAAAGTATTGATCGATGGCCAGTAAATGCCATCGTATTAGTACGATTCACTGTGTTCTCTATTTATAAGGTTGACTTGATTATTATTACAAAGTAATTTCATGCTATCTTTATGACGGTCTTCCTTTATTCATGGAAAGAATAATCTCTCGTATCCGGAGGCAGTCCTTCACTGTCTTCATATTTTTCCGCGATTTGGTACCAGACATATATCCGCGAGAATTTGCTTCAGGCAATGGGCAAATCTTTCAGTTGTTCGCTTCGAGAAACTGACTGTGTTTGGAAACTTGTTTTACTCACTGTAAATTGTCATCAGAGGTGTACTGGATTACGTGTTATTGATATCCCCTCTTTTGAACATGTGATTATGGCTATATTTTGTTTTCTCTTGTATGCTAGTTGTTCTAGTTCGTTATATTTTATTATTACTATTATCGCGTCTTAGATTCTTGTTTATATGCTGATGCCGTTGATGCTGTCCAGATGAAGTTGTCGTCAGATAATTCGATATATTGATTCAACGCTACTGGAAGGTTCCCGGGTTTGACCCCATTTCGCCGGTGCTATCGGTTGCCGGTCGCTGCAAGAATGTCCGAAGTGACCGCGTTAGATCTGAATAATCAGGTGAGGTCGGGGATACGCATTTGGTTCATTTTGACGTCGCTAGAAATCATTTTTAGATTGTTAAAATGCGGAAGGTCGTTGGTCAAGCGAAGTTTCGTCTTTCGAGCAAGACTATCCGAAGGATCAAGTTTCTTAAGAAAAAATGGTACTGCTTGTTTTTTAATGTAGCGTTGATTGTAACGGCTTCCGTTATCCTTTTTAACATCATTTTCCTGTCATTCGTTCTTTAATCCATTTCGTTATGCATCCATTTTTAAATCCAGGTTTTTTCAGGCTTTTGTAGTGGCACTTCAAGGAAATTTTTCTGTTGTTCTTAATTTCCTACCAATCATACAAGCTCCACAAACTTCATTTCAAGGTTTGACAGACGCCAGATGTTTTATAAACCTGCGCCATTCGTCCTTCAGTGTGTCATTTGTCGCCTGATGTATTGGCTTGTGAAGAGAATCTGTCTTGTATGTCTTTTCTGACATTCTGACTGGGTGTCAGGATATTCCCCTTTGAGGCCTGAATCTTCAGAAGAATCGGCGCACATGCTGTGGTATCTGAAATTTCCGTGTTTTCAAGCTTTTTAGACATCGTCATTGAGCCATCCTTCAACGTCCAAACTTTATTCATACTGTTTGTATTCGGAATTCATTCATCAGCACTCATGAGGAAGCTGTGCTTTCGGCGTTGATGAAATTCATGCTATATAAACTTCAATAACGGTGCCGCCGATTGATTTAAGATTATCCTGATCGTTTCTTAAAATGAATTACGTGGTTATTAAGTTGGATTGTTTTGTTTGACCAGTAACAGGATGTTATATCATACTTTCGCTTTAAACCATGCCTTTGCTGTTAGCAAATTCTAATGCTGACAGTTTCATTGACCTTTCAAGCATGATGACTGGTTTTGAAAAGTTGGAGTTTGCGAATCGTAAATGTAAATAGAAATACCAGAATTAATCGATTCTACTACCTCTTGCTCTTAATCCCATAAGGGTGATTTAAGCATGCCGGACTTTATAGTCGAACTACATTCACCGTCATCATCATCAGCCTTCCTCCGTCATCGACATCATCATCAGCTTTTGTCGATCTACTGCTGAAAGGAGACCTCCAAGATTTTGCTATAAGCTGTTGTTGTCTGTCAGTTCATCCATCTTGATTCAGTGAAGTTTTTTAGCTCATCTCGTCACCGGTGTCGATATCTTCCTATGGACGGTCCACTCTCTGTTTTAACTCAGTCTGATGTCTTTCTGGTCCAGTCGTAGTCCATGTTTCTCACCCACATATTAGCACTGACAGTATACATTGCTCTAATGCTTTCCGTTTCAAACACAACGCGGTTTTCCGATGGTACATCTTCAGTCTTTTAAAAGTTTTCCATGCTACTTTTATTCTTCTGTTGATTTAACTGAAGCTGCCATGCATTTTTTTTCAAGCCTAAGTCCTTTGGCGTCAAGAAGTCACGCGACCACGTGTTTGGTAAATGTGACCTGTGTGCTTTTCGGGTTCCGCTTCAATGCTGACGTCGTTCAGGTCTTAAATTCTTCTTACTAGTTTTTCTGTTGACCTTGAGAGGATGACGGTATCTACCGCAAACTTGCATAGGTAATGTATTGACCATTTATCCGTAGCCTCTGATTTTCTTAACGGAGTTTCTTGAAAACCTCTTCTGGGGCTGTTATGAATGACTTCGGTGATATTGCATCACAATCGCAATGGCCATTTTCGATTTTGTACTTGCTTTTGACACTAGCAGCTGCATTCTTGTAAGTGATCGCGATTAGGTTGTTGCGCCTTTTCTCGATATTTCGTGGCTCTAATAAAATTCGCTACTACGCGCTGTACATTGAATCGAAGGCGGCAAACCTAGGCTGGGAGGAAGCTGATATTCGTTGCTTGCCTGACATTTTTTCCTATCATAGCCAGATGATGCATCGTACTAAATCTACTTTTGAATCCTAAATGCTCCTCTGTATGTGTAACGTTCAATTTTCTTTGAAGTTTGTTCGTCAGTATCTTCATGAAGACCTTTAGCGTAGATGACAAACTGATTCACGTATAGTCTTTCCTTTTTGTGGAGTATAATCACTGATGCGGCAGCCCAGTCATCTAGAATTTTCATTTTCTTTGGAGAGCTTGAAAACAAGTACACAAATATTTTCGTAAGTTAATATGCTTTACCTCCTGATCCCACGAGTTCAATGAAATTGAGTCTTCGCCACAAGTCCTTCCTCACTTCAACTCTTTTATTACTGGTCGCACTATTTCTGACTTCTGACAACAGACCTGGAATTTCATTAACGTGATTTGTGTCTTTAGCTTTATATCACCCCCAGAGTGTTGCTATTTTCTTCTTTGTATAGAAATCGTATTCTCTTTTAGAATCTCTTGTTCGTCCCTGATTACTGTCTTCTTCTGTGCTTTTAGTACTGGTGGTACAGCGCCTAACAGATCGGCTACAAATTCCGAAGGCGATGAGTTTTATTTCGGCGGATGACAACCATTGCCTTAACCACGAATCCCCTGAGCAAGGAATTTACCACACATTATTTTAGATCAGACCGGCTCCGTTAGTAGAGCTTCGATCTCAGAACTGAGAAGTCCTGCGTTCTAGTCCCAGTGGGGTTACTCGCCTTTCTTTACTCAGAGCTCGATGAAGGAGTGCAGCTCTACAGAGGAGAAAATAGGAAACTACACGTAAAGATTGTACTACAGTAGATTCGGACTTTAAAATAAGGCCTCCTGGCTGGTGATAGCTCCCGTAGCATTTACGTCATTAAAACAAAGGTGTCAAAATGATCTCATCATGAAGTTGTAAGGAAGAGTGATATTCCAACGGTGACAAACTTTCCTTTGAAAGCTAAGATTTCTCCTCTCCCAGCCACCAGTCACTGATTTAATTTCTTCATGTCTCTGTTGTTTTCCATTGTTTCCGTTACCAAGGTAACGTTGAATGCTCAGACGCCATCTTTTTCTATCTGTTTTCTTAACGTTTTGTAGTTTCACTTATTTGATATTTGATTCCTGATTTCTTTGTGTGTTCATCTCGCCGTTCTTTATGAGTTCTTTCATCCGCTTCATAATTTTTGGGTGGACTTTCATGTTCCTTGTTCCAACGAGATTTTTTGCCTGGCTTCCTTGTATTCAGATACATTGCCTTAGTGTCCACTGCTTCTCTTTTTTGTTGTTATTGCATGTTGTGCGTAACGTCGAAAGTGTCCTTTAATTTGAATCGGAAGGGTGGAATGTCTTTGCTTATTTCCACGTCGAGTATCTTGCCTTTCATCCTCAGCAGTTTCCTTTCTTGTACGATAAAGTTTATTTATTTGATTCTGTGTTGGTTATTTTTAATTTACGTTAGAATAGGAGTAATGTAAAATGAATAATTTTTCAACTATACACACTGCAAGTTCGTCATGGTAAAATGTTCCTTATTAGCAGCTATTTTTAACGAAAATTCTCCCCGGTTGCCAGTTCAGCAGTTCGAGAAATCAGTAACAAGTCGATAATCTGAGAACCGTCTGAAAAATGTAGTGTTCTCATGCGGCTATACTGTGGCGTGCGAGATTGACCGATGCCTTTGCTATTTGATGCTTCTGAAAAACATATCTCGATTTTTTTGTCAGCAACTGCTTACCTGGGAGTCTTCTTCCTTCATTACCTTATATGTAAATTTATTTATAACGCAGTCAGAGAAGAAGTATTCTTGATGAGCAGTTGCAGACTCGTAAAAGTCGAAGTGTTTTTCAGAAGCAGATGCACTTATGACGGTTATTGTTGGAAAATTTGACTTTCGAATGAAATCTTTCAATTTTATGCTATTGCCATTGAACTGAAACACATCTTTCATCGAAAAAATATTCGAAAGTCAGTTGACAGTGGAATAAAAATTAATTTTTAATGATCTCATGCTTTTGACGTGTCTGAATTTTAGTGAACATTCGGATAAAAGTGCATCGCTGACACGAAAAATCCAGCGTTACGTTGAAGAACTTCCGGTGATTAGGGTAAAGATGTGGTCATGATGTGAATGATTTAATGTTTGTAAACGCAAGCTTTAGCAAATGAAGCCCGATGAAGTTAGCAAATTCGCTTTGGTGAACACCAAGTTGCTTAATGAACTGAAGATGCAGGTGGGCAATTATTGACTTTATCACACCAGGTGATTGCTTTTAAAGTGCAACAGTTTAGAAGGAAACGCCCGCATCCGATAGGGTTTTGTACAAACTCGCCACATCTAGACTGATGGTCGAAACTGTTGACGAGTACCGCGCCAAGCATTCAAATTGGCACCAGGAGATCCCGTTCCTTTTGCAGCGCTTAGGGTTACAGTATCATCGGCGCAAAAAGACGGCCAACGCGCATGTCCGTGTTTCTGACAAAGGCGACGATGATGAACACCAGCCTCAGAGCGAAGTTGGTGTTTCTCCTGCTTCTGTTGAGCCATCCTCTGCAGTGCCTCCGAATGTTCAGACTGAAAGTAATGTTTCACCTTCGACGAATCCCCATGAAAATTTGCTGGGCAGCAGTGCTTTAAAACCGTCTAACAGCTGCGAGCCTCATTTAAATTTCAAAGATGAAGATGCAATGCATGGCGATAAAGAGATGACTGAAAAGAATCCAAAATCTAGTCAGAAACGAGTAATGGAGGTAAGTGATGGTGACGAAGTTCCTACTACAGATGCGAGCGGGACACCTTCGCTGTTGGAACGGCTGAAAGTACAACGGAAGAAAGAAAAGTCGTTTTCAAGAAAAAAGAGAAAACAACAAACCAAGCTTGGCAATGTCCTGGTGGGTGCTTTGGCACCAAAGGTTCCGGTCGAGGGACGAGTGGGTGAGATGGAAGTGCGAATGATACACTTGGAACCGGCTAGAGAAGCAACGGCACCGTTGCTGCCAGATAATATATGCCGTGAAGACGCGATAGAGCAGTCAGCTTCTGCTGCTGCTTCTTCAGAAGACGAAGATGACCCGTTCTTTTCGGCGAATGTCTCTTCAGTGTCTCAGAATTCTTACGTCATGTCAAATGTCCGTGAAGAAAGGTTCGATAAAAAAGATTCACCACTGGAAAGGAGAGAGAAGAAGGAGATGCGTTATGCTCGCCGCTTTACGCCACGCCGACCATTGGCGAATGCCATGAGGTACAAACTAAATTGGACACAATGATATTTATGTGAATGTTTTTCCTCATGACATAATTTGCCTTATCCCATCTTACGTGGAACAGCTAATAGTCTCTTTAAATGTACTTTTATTTTTTATTCTAGTCTGTTTTAGTAGAAATAGCACATTCTTACTTTAATAGCATGAGTTTATCGAATTGTGGTTCGGTTAACATTTAAAAATTGTTAGGGTTGGCACATTTATTTCAACACTTCAGTCTAGAATAAGCCAATAGCGCGATATGCTTTTTGGCATTTAGTAGTTTCGAGTTTAGAGGCATAATCAGGTAAGCTCTAGGGTATGACAGTACTGCTTAGTCAATGATATGCGCTGAATGACAGGCGAAGTTGTGCGAAGATGATACTCCTAGCGACTGGAGGTCTGCCTCTAGTATGTCTGCAAAATCTTGAGATCCGTCGTTCTTGAAACAGTAATGGTATCCCATGTAGTTTCGTTCTGGCTGTGCCTCTGTTTTACTCGTTGGAACTAACGAACGTTAAAAATGTGATGTAGAAAGCGTCATTGGATGGCTGCCTTCGGCAAGGTCCGTTTCCAAGCCGTATACCGTAAAATCGAGCTGACAGATGAAACGAAGATCTGCATTTTCGGTATCAACTGGATTCTGTTGATAACATCACATCTTCTCTAGGCTTCCAAATACTGCCACTGCCACTGCTAAAGCAATCCTATTCACCTGAGTATCACAGCGGCCGTTTATTCATGAAGATAGAGCCCAAGATATTTCTGCTGGCCAACTTCATTCTACCATTCTCTGTGCGACGAGATATCAGCCTCATCTGTTGCTTCTCTCTTTCTCATCACTTTCGTTTTTTAAAAATAATTGAGTCGAATGTCTTTTCATTTTGCCAGTGACGGTTTTAACCACATCTGTTAGTTGCCATAGTCCATCTTCATCTTCTTCATCTTCCATCGCCGCTTCTCCTTTCGGGTCGCGGAGGCAGACGCGTCAGA